CCAGTAAGTGCTCCAGAGCAAAGGGAAAGAAAAGAATGGTGCAGTACCTGGCCCTTATAGCGAACTTGATCATCACTTCATCTATGCTAAGTTCTGTTTTTAATCTAAAGGACCTCTGTTAATGGCAGAATGTACGTAATTCATAATTTGCAGACCCTACTGCTACATCACTCCACTGTAAAGCCTTCTAACCTCATGCTTGAATTATTAAAGTCATCTCTGGGCTAGTCTCCTGGACATTGGTTGCTCTACACCAGATCAATTTTAGGTACTTTAAAATCATTATTCCTAAAATATGCATTTGATCCTGTCACTCTCTTATTCCATTCAGGATAGAGTTCAAGCTTCTTACTCTGGGGATCAAGATCCGTCACAAACTGACTTCATTTTCAGACCTTTAAAAACCTTATGACCTTATCTATGAGTTGTTTCCACTGGAACTCTCTGTTTGGGGCCGATCTCTTTGCTGTATCATGAAGATCCCAAGTTTGGTCCCTCCCCTTGCTCATTGTTTTCGCACCAGTCCAGTTCCTTCCTTCAAGGAGTATTCTTCCAGCCTGCTTCCCTTTCTTCGATGAGTCCTGCTATGCAATTTATTGGCTAAAGCAATGCTTTGGCCATTTCATTTTACCACCTTTAATTCTTTACTGGCTGGTCTTGATGTAAGTACACTGTCCTCTAGACTGTAAGCCCCTTGAGAGCAGGGGCCATAGCTAACTCATCTTGCATTTTCCCACAGTAACTCCCAGAGTATGTCTCAAGTAATTACTCATTATCTGACAAACACTTTTCTGATAAAATAAAAGTGACCGTTCAGGATTATGCAAATGTAAGCACAAGTTCAAACAAAAGTTGGGTTCATGGTGATGTTTATATTAAAGGTTGAAACCAAATAATGCAGAGCAGTTGCTGGTAATTTGGAATCATCTACAGCTGATCTCTTCAGTTGCCTGCAGGCTGCCAGATAAACCTGTGTTGTTCCTTTCGGTTAATGCTCATTTACAAGACATTTACTGACTTTAATCTGAAGGCAGAGTTTTATATAAGCTTAGACACAAGATTCTGATAATAAAACTAGAAGGTACATACATGTTGTAATGATTCCATCATCAGAAGAGATTACATGAAGAGAGTAAAATAAACTCATGTGTTGAGAGCATATTATTGAGAGCATGAAACCACAAATTATCACAGACGTAAGAATAAGAGAACTCAGGTGAGAGCTGGAAAGTTTCATCATCGGCCTAACAAAATGTAATTAGTTCTGCATGCCGTTTTTCTTGTATTATACTGTAGAAGTATAATTTTACTAAAATGATAGTAAAATAATAGTAGTATTATAGTAAAATGTAGGAGTTCTAGGTACGTTCTCTGTTTAGAGATGTAAAGTCCGAGGAGGCAATACAATCTTTAGGCAGAAGGAAGGCAGAATTAGCAAGTGGGAGTGAATCTGATGCAGGTTGTGAAAGGCTGATTAAAAAGATAGAGGGCAGGTACCATGACGTCTCTAGTTTTTTGTTTGGAATTTCATGGACTGGTATATAGATATTTAACTTTAACACAAAGCAGAGCATAAGTAATTTAATAGAAGTAGACTAAAAAAAAAGGTTATGCTGGAAAAGAGAAGAGGTTACATCCAATCGGGCAACTAGTGAAAGCTTCAGAAGGAGATAACGGGCTAAACCACAGGAGGGAGAGACAGGGAGAGAGAATGTGAATGAGCAAAAACTTGAGAACTTTAGTTTGGGGTGAGAGCAGCATAAAGCTAGAAATGACAATGAGCTGAATTTGGGACAAGTTGATGAAGGTAGTTTCCAGCCATCCCTTGGGAAGAAAACTATTAAGTGGTAATGGCTAAGGATGCAGCAAAGAAAATGCTCTTTAAGAGGAATTATGGGATACTGGAAAATGTGTTTCTGATTGCTAGAGTGCTGATTTACACTGAGACATCAAGCAAGTCAGCACTTTAATCTGAAGTTATCTTTCTTCCAGTCGAACTAAGATGCTAGTGTTTTTTCTCGAAGGATACTATGATGAATTTTATCGTCTTTATCTGTATTCAATGACCCTGTAAGAGAAACAAGGATTTTCCTGATACTTCCATTCTTTCTCCTACCCCCGTATATGTCTCTGCACATTTAGTCTCCTCATCTGACCTGCTTTGGACCCCTTCGCCCTTTACTTATTCACTCCCACATCTTTTTTTCAGTCAGTTCCAGGCTAGCACTACAATTCTTTTGAGCTCCTTCAACTATATAGGATGATGCTGTTTTGTTGTATTTTTATGTTATGTTGAATACTTGTTGGTGTGACCAGGCAAACAAGGAGGCTGATCCTCCTCCCATCTTCTAGCAGATCACAAATATAGTGTACTCGGGCGAATACTATGGGTCTTATACGTGAGTAGTTGACTCTTTGTAGGTTCTCTGATTCAATTTTAAGTTTTTTATTCAATAACTATTTACTGAGGCTAAAATCACTTGAGGGCTGGGATTGTGTTGTGTTAGACACTGAGGATAAACCAGAAAACTGGGAAACATAGTCTCCTTGACCTTATGGAGCTTACAGCTGGAAAGGAAAGGCAGACATTTAAAAATGAGTATTTAAAAAGGGACAAATTTCACAATAGTAGTTTTGGAGACTAAGGAAATATTTTTGTCTAAATAATCTTGTAAATACAGAATGAATTAATTATTCAAACATTTAAGGATACATAGTAATATACATTTTATTAATTTGGTAGAATTATAAGCAATGTTGTAGATGCTGCATAATAGAGTATCTAACTTAGTGAAAACGTTAAGTTAATTTAAAAGACTGCTTTTATTTCAAATATGCACAATATAAGTAACTAATCTAACAATATATGATTTTGATAGACGTTACCAGGAAATTTTTAATAATTAAGTGATTTGCGTTTAGTATAGCAACTGGTTTAAACCTTGTTGGGGGGGCAGTGTTCCAATACATACTTCTTCAGAGTTAAACTATCACTAACTTACCTTTAAATATTAAGTAAGAAGGGGTGTCTGAATTAAATTACATGTTATAAACTAGCACATATATCACCCTTCTTTTAAAATTACATGTATCAAATATCCATGATTCAAAATTAAATGAACTAGTTCATTTTGTCATAAGTCTAAGAGAAAGTTGTAATATGTAACATTGCACACTACACTTATGATTGTTTTCATACTTTAATAATGAATAAGAGAAAAAGGAATAAAAAAGAAATAAAGGGATGAAAAGAGAGAGAGGAAATCCTAGCTTTTGTCAGAAACAGAACATAGCTTTATTCATCACAAAAGAGGTATTTCTTAATTTGGCTGTTTCAAATATTTTTGTCTACTGAAAGGTGAATAAAATATCAAAGCTGGTTCCTTAATGAAATGCAAATTCAAGGAAGCAAAAGTCAAAACTGAGACTTTTTGAATGACATATTCTTAGTATTTCTATTCTTTTATAGTACACACAAACCAAAATTCCATGTTTTCTAGACCCCTCTGTTTCTTTAGAGGTATGTCTTTTTCTCTTAGGGATCACTAAAAAGTCTAGTAGCTGATTTCACTTGAGGACAAATAAATTATTAGGTTGTCTTTTAAAAAGGAGAATGAAACCACTATGCTTTTAAAAGGTCAGTGAAAAATATTGCTAGCTAGCTTTTCCTAAGGAAACTTCTTTTAAAGTGCTCCCCCCAAGCTAGCTTTAAAACAATAAAATAAAGGATCCGAAAATAGTCACTTGTGATACCAAATCACCAGTAGCCCAAAATGAGTATATTCAAAATCTGAAGTGGAAAATTAGAAGCAATGATTTATGAAGATCAAGTCCACCAAAGACTCTGTTCTTGCCTCAAATTAATGGCTCTTTCAGGTAAAAGCATCATTTTCTAGATTGTTTTCTCCAGTCTGTATTTTCTAGTGTTGAAATGACTGCAAACCTTTGTGAAACTTACAAGCATCACTTTATTTTAGTGTGTGTGTGCATATGTATGTGTAAAATGTCTTAAACAGCCACGGAGTTTTTGAGGGGTAAGGGATATTCTTCATTTAGGCATTGTGTAATGCTTTAGTTTAAGCTTATAAAAGTTTCCAAAATTTTCTGTATATTTAAATGACTTTTTACCAATTTTCTCTTCATCCCTACAGATCTTCATAAACAATGAATGGCATAATTCAGTGAGTGGCAAAAAATTTCCTGTCTTTAATCCTGCAACTGAAGAGAAACTCTGCCAAGTAGAAGAAGGAGATAAGGTTAGTTTCTGAACACTAGTCTCATTTTATGCCAGGTCTCTTTGTTCCTTGCCATTATTCTGAGCTCCCAAACCCCACGGCAACTTTAAGAAGACATGACATGAAAATATGGCTTTTGGGGCAGTCTGGGGAAATTTTCTAAGTTGTCCTTGGTATATACAGGGCACTCAGTAGTCATGTAATGGTGATGTGCCTGTGCTTCTGGGTGTTGTGATGACTTTTTCACATTTTCTTTGTTTTTCAGTTGACATAGTGCCTAAATTTATTATACAAACAAACTGCATAAGAAAGAATTGATCATAAGTTTAAAAGGGACAGAAATGCTTTATTCATATAAAATTGTTCTTTTCAAGTTACATGAAGAAATTAAAACTAAAATTAATATAGGACTTTTAGAACAATATATTACCAAGGTATTTCATTAAAAATCATTGAATTAATATTCATCAATACCTTAAAATATTTTTAAATGACTTAAATTGAATAACAGGTTAAAAGTATTGTTACTCTCTAGCTAATAATAGTAACAATGAAAACCAACTTTCATTTGGTGATAATTTTTTAAAATTCTAAATACAGTTTTAATTTATATTTGAATCAACCTAATGGGGAGCAAACTATTTTTAGCCACTCTTATGAATGATGTTGAAGTGGCAGAATAAAAAGTTTGAGTAATTTACTAGAGGTGACATAGCTAATAAATAGTGAAATCAGCATTCAAATGTTGTCTGTCTGACCCCATAGCCTGTGACTGGGAGGGTTACTACTTTACCTGTAATCACAATAAAAGTAAGATAGGGTAATATTAAATAGCCTGGGGATAAGATAGTAAAAGACTTCAGAATTTTTATCTAAACACATACCTAAAAAAGTGTATGTGTTTTTAAGTCTAATTTGAAATAAATTTTCTGGTATTTGGTTGTCCAGACTTATCAAGCTTTAAATCTCTGTAATGTAAGATAGAAAGAGATGATAAATTCATTTTTCACATTCAACAAGGAGGAAAGAATACCTCTTATCAAAAACTTCTAGAGATCCATTCACCACTACTTTACCTCAAATGTCCCTCTAGTTGCTTGAGTCACTCTAGCAAGCCTGGGAGGTGAGAAAAGCAATAAAGGACAAGGTAAGGACAGAGTGAGCTCCTGAAAGCTGCCTGGTTTCTCTCTTCAGAGGTATAAATGCCACTGAGAGAGAGACTGCAGATCTGTTTGCAGTTTGCAATTAACAAAAGGAAAAATATTCTTGATGTTTTTTTCTCTGGAGCTTTGGACATTGAGCTTTGGCACTGGCTTCCTAGCTCAACATCTTGCTTTGCCACTGGGATTAGTTTCAGCAGTGAAAAAAAAAAAAATCTGTGCCTGGTTTTCCAGCTGAAAAATTGTCAGGCAGTCTGAAGACTTTTCCTGGCATACTTTGTGGGATTTATCTTCTTCTTAATGGAAGAAAAGAAAACTGATGATCACACCAAAAGCCTTAGAAATGTTCTCCCTCCATTTGTTCTGTTCTTAGTGACAATTACTCTTGCTCTTGATCAAGAAGCCTCATTAACATCCAGCAAAGCTTCAAATCAGGTCACAACATTAATCAAATTGGCTGAACATTTGATCTCTCAAACTAAATTGTTTATAATACAAACTTTTCATAGTAAGCAACTGTTTGCTTAACATCTGGCACTCGTATACTTTTATTTTGTAATTATTCAAAAATTTTTCTTTCTAAATCATTATTGCTGTTGTCATAATTTTGCCCACAAGCCTATAGTAAACTCTAATGACATTGCTTGGTGAAAGGTACAAATCTAGTAAAGTACATAGTCACAGTAAACCTAATATTCTGGAACTGACTCTTTAGATAATGAGCCAAAAGGTTTTAGGGATTAAATTTATGAGTACAATGGAGCTGACAATGGGCTATATACCGCCTTTCAGTGGCATTATAAAGACAGGAGGGGCAAGAACAAATGGAGGTCACAAAGCAAAGCACAGACGTGGGTGGGAACTGTTTTCTTTTCACTTCAGTGGCTCTTTCAGTCAATTGATATTGACTAATTCCAAAAACTGCTTTTAATACTAAAGCGTGACCTAAAAACTAATTGGTAGGGATAAAAGTAAATGTCCATTAGAGTAAGTGCCTATGACAGGTGTAAAAGTAAAACTGGTCTGATAACTATTTTCTCCAACTCTGAATGAATTTGATATGGAAATGTACCATCTGGGAGTGAGTGAAGAGTTCAGTCCCTCCTGGACTGCACTTAAGAGGCGTTTGATATCTCATCATTTGAATTGTCGTAGTCCATTCAGCTTGTGGGTCCTTTCTTCAAAAAAGGAACACTTCAAATACTACAGTCAAAATTGTCAGTGATGGTGGGAAATCCGAATTAATATACTAAATTGCTTTCTAGTTAATTCAAAAATTCTATCTCTGGAAACGCCAGTCCTAGAAAAAATCCAAGAAATTCTAGTCCTGAAATTAAAACAAAACAAAACAAAACCTCTTATGCCTAGTAATTTTGAATAATGTAAATATTTTGTTATATCGTGGAATCTGTTAAAAAATGGTTACATAAATTACAAGTAATTTAATTATAGAAGGCGTATCCTTATATGAAGTCAATGTAACATGATGAGTTTATAAGATAGGTAACTAAATTATTAAATATTATTTACCTGCCTATTGTAGTCTTAATAGTAAGCACTATTATAGTTTATAATGCACATAGCAGAAATATTCATTGCAAGGGAGATCATTATGAAAGCAGCCTTGCAGAAGTATGTGAATAGATTTTGAAGTCAGATCAAATTTTTATTCTACTATCTGCTGGGTTTTGTGAGCCATAGTCTACTCCCTCTAAAACAAGGTCCATGACACTTAACTATAGTAGCAACTGTGGAGCTGTAAAGGACTTAACTTAGTGCCTGGAGCTTAATCGACTCATAGCTGGTAGCTATCATCAAGCTGGATTAGTCTGGTGAGAATTTAGGTAGGTTGTAATATTTGAGCTAAGTCTTAAAGAATGTGTAGGATTTTGAAAGTAAAGTGGTGTGATGGTAGAACATTCTAAGCAAGGAGAATTACAGGAGAATAGGTGAGAGGGACCTGGGTCAGATAGAATAGAAAAGATGAGAACACTAAGTTGGATAGGTGAGGTGGAAAATCAGGCAGAGGAGTTTGGCCTTGAGACTTTAGAAATAAGGGAATAGTTGGAAACATTTTAAAGGGAAAGTGATAAGATAAAATTATTTAAGGGACATTAGGCTGGTGCAATTGGCAAGACAGTTTGGGGAGGGAAGGGAATGAACTTGGAAAGCCTATTAACAATATGAAATAATAAAGGCCTAAAATAGTACAGGGCAGTGAAAACTGAAAGGAAGGATTAAAGTATACTAGGGCTGCTGGGAGTTATTTTAAGGTTGTTTTGATTGCTAGGAATACAACAATTGCTACCATTTAATGAACACTTAATGTCTGTCACATAAAAAAGTATGCTTTAAATGTTATTTAATCTTTTAGACAACCCAGTGATGTAACTTACCCCTATTTTAAAGATAAAAAAATTAAACCTCAGAGAAGTCTTGTCACAACATATTTCACTTTAGAATATTTTTCATAGTTTATAATAATAATTGGGGTGATGATTTCATTGTATGTTTCTTCCATTTGATTAAATATTTCAAAAGGGTAATCTCCTAACTTCACTATTTTATCACTAGCACATTACTGATAAGAATGTTGCAGAATGAAGCATTTACCAAATCTTTAGAAAGATGGATGGATGGATGGATGGATGGATGGATGGATGGATGGATGGATGGTTGGATGCCTCAAAGTTTGCATAGCTAAGAAGGAGAAATCAGAAATCAAGTCTCAGTTGTTTTGTTCCAAGCTATATATTGACTACCATTAATGTATTTCTGCTCCTGCAAGATTAAATATAAGATGTGAGAGAAGGAGGAGTGTGATCCAAAGGGCATAACCCCAAGAACATCTTTATTTATAGCAGCATTCTCCAGGGATGTGTTTTCCATATGGCAGAGTTATTTGTCTTGAAGCCAGTTTCTTCATCTCCTATTGAGAAGCAAGGATGCCTGTGATAGCCCATATTTGGCTAAGGCCAATGGCAGAACACTGAACAGAAGGATCCGAATGAAAGCTGTGTCATACAGAGCTGTTTAAACACAGACCAGCATATATTTTATAAGCTGTGCTATCCACAGATCATTCTGGCAATCTCATATTCTTGGGGTTTGCTTTTTTTTTTTTTTTCCCTCCAAGCAGTGCTCTCTGAATTTAACTTGGGAAAGGTTAGAATCTATGGCATAAAATATTGTCCAAATATAAGGAAACAATGTGATTAACTGAATGCCCCAAATATACACTGTATATGTATTTCTCATGAAAGGCAAGCAATAAATGCATATATTTTATATATACTCATCTTTCTCTCAAAAGTTAGAGAATGAAATATACCAGTGTGTGATGTATTACAGTGAATCTTTGCTTATGGTCAGTAAATATTATCACTTAATCAGAACAAATTTACACTTCTAAAATATCCCTCTTTCCCCAGACCAATTTAGTTTGGTGATAAATATTGTAAAAATAGTTTATTTGCATTTTAGTTTACAGGCTTCTAAGTTTTGAGATTCTTCATTGAATACAGCCTTCAGGGGGATGTTAATTTGAGGTCCATGCCTCTCCAAGGGGAAAGTGTCATCCTTGGATGGTATTCAGCTTAATTGTGAGCAATTTAAAACAAAATTAGGGTAATTTCACACATACACACACACACACACTCACTCACACTCATATACACACTCATACACACTCACACACACATACATACCCTGTGATGCAGTCATGATTTGTGGAACATACATAGTTCCATGCAGTGGTCAGTACTATGTACAAAAGAACATTAGAAAGATCTATGCGTTTAAGGTATTTACAACTGATTTGATGAGGGCAGGAAAAAAATTAGTAATAAAAGAGGCCATGATTTTTGTAGTAGGTATATTCTTTCTATAGGAGCTCAGAAGAGTTCTGAATAGGGATCTGTTGGGTAGCAAAGTGGCCAGGGCAAAGTTTATAACCAAGGCAGATGAGGAAAGACCAGAGGAGCACACCTGGTTTAGAAAAACACAACAGAGAAGAAAGCATGCGTGAAGGTAACGTGGTGACAGCAAGGAGGTTCGACTGAGTGTGGCATCCCTTCTGTGACTTCTGATTAGTGGGCCATAGTCAAGAAGAAGAAACTGACTTCTTTGCCTTGTGAGTGATTGAAAGAGATCACTTTGTACCCAGGTGGGAAATGCAGGGTTGTCACATGCAGAACCTTCTCTACACCGGTTCCTCTACCCCGTGCTGTTTCCCTCTGCACAAAAGGAAGAAGCACATGTTTACAATGGTTACTCTTCAGCAGCAAAGAAAAGTTCTTATTCACCTTCAATAGGCTCTTCATGAGAGTGGACAGGCTGTAGAGTCCCCAGACACCCAAGAAGATATTAGCTGTGTTGGATCGTGAGCTTTGCCTGGAACCCTGGCAATCCCATCACCAAATGTGTGGTGAACAGCAAGAGATCCACAGTCCAGCTCTGTTTAAAACTCAGTTCAGCTACTTGTAGTTGTTGACCTTGGGCAAATCTCCTTTCTCTCTGTGCTTCCGTTTCATCTGTGAAATGGGAAACATACCTGTCCTGTAAAAATATTGAGAATTAAATGATTCTTATGTGTAAAGTTACTACAGCATGGCTTGAAATAGGGTAAGCACTCAAATGATAACATTTATTAAAATATTATCATAGTTATATTCTAGGAAATCAAACATGTGCTAGGAATGTGGGGCTCATCATTCTAAAGATTATTCAGCAGTTATAATTCCAACATACCGCAGTCCAGTGCGCACAATGTGCTAGACCGTGGGCTAATGGAGACACAATGCCTGTTTGTGAGGAGCTTCAGTCTATTTTATAGGGTTGTTGCCATTGGATTTGCTAACCCGGTATACTTAGCTTACTGAATTGAATTCCCTTTGACTCACAGGAGGATGTTGACAAAGCAGTGAAGGCTGCAAGACAAGCTTTTCAAATTGGTTCTCCATGGCGTACTATGGATGCTTCCGAGAGGGGGCGGTTACTGTACAAGTTGGCTGATTTAATTGAAAGAGATCGTCTGCTGCTGGCCGTGAGTATTAACCAAACTGAATGGGTAGCAAAAGCTCTCAAAAGCATCAGTTGGTTGAACTGGCAAGTCATTTAGGTTTTAGTGATCACTATATGTTCCCTACAGCAAAACGAAAACCTCATCCCCCAGCCCCTATGTAGGACTGTTAACCATGGAGTTGGTTCTCAAATAGTAATCTGCCCCTCAGTTATGTATGATGTTAATTTCTGCTCCCATAGTAGATTCCACAGCCTAACTTTGGCAAACCCTGAGTTAAACCAAATTAAAGAAATTTCTTTCCTTTACTCTAGAACTCTTAGAACCTTTAAAAAGGTCAAGGAGTACAGTGTAAATCTCCTCCAATGATGTACTGTGTTTCTCAAACTTACTTGACCACTGAACTCTTTCAGTGGAAAATCTATCAAGTTTGTTAAAGGGTACCCAAAATATTTCTCTAAAATAAATCCTATTTCTCCTTATTCTAGCCCACCAATATATGTAATAAATAGCTATTTTTTCCCTTCCTGAAATGTGTCTGTTCACAATGGTCATAATTAAATGATGTTCTTGTTATAGGTGAAAAAGGCAAAAAAAAAAAAAATCCAATCATTGATGTGTTTATAAAAATTACATTTTTATGTTTACTGGTATGTTTGTTTTGTTTTGGTTTTTTTGTTTGTTTTTTTACAGTTTAGCAGTTAGATGAGTCAACACATAAGATGGGTAGGGGAGGTTTTTATTTTTGTCTTCTCAGTTGGGCATTATCATGAAGCCAATTTAACACAAACCACTACCTAGATCAGGTTTCGGAATAATTTTTTTATTACCTTTAGAATCTTAAAATGGCAGTAACAAAGAAGCCTACATTTTTTAAAAAAATCAACATCAGCAATTATAGTTAATCAAAGGACCATATATTACTGTATCAAAGATTCAGCATAATTCAAAACATACAAAAATATGGAACCAGAAGATGTGTGCTATAAAATTATATGAACCAAAATGTGCTGTAGAAAGAAAGCAGAAGATAGTAAAACTTGGCTTCTCCCGTTTATCTGCCCTGTGGATTACAGAGTGTTGACTGCCTCTATCAGCATAAGACCCCATGGGGGAAAAAGTGCAGGCATACGAAAATCAGATTTGATTCAATGTTGAGATGGTAGGCAGTATAATACAGAGGCAGGACAGCTTTAACAGTGTGTCACCTGTGTGTTTCTGCCAGGTGACCATCCCAGCAGAACATTAGCTCCTAAAGAGCACTTATAGTTCTGCTTAAGAAAATCAGGTAAAGAGGAAATAGATCATCCTGTAACAGTTAGGGCACTAGACTAAAAAATCTTGAGCTTTGTAACCTGACCATTCAAATGCTAATTATTATAATAGTGGCAAAACTGTGAGTTTTATAATTAAATATTGTGCTGAAGAACATTCATGGATTAAAGAGCCAGGTGTTACTTAAGTGTGTGTGAGTAGTTTGGTTATATTCAGGTGAAATGCAAAAATTGAAAATGATTTTTAACGCATTATTAGTAGTCACTAACACTAAATTATCACCCACAGTTGATAATTTAGTGTTAGTGACTGCACTAACAGATCACACAACAAATGAAATCTGATTGGAACTCTGAACTAAGGAGACTAGGTACTATCTCATTGGCTGTGTAGATTTCAAATTGTGACCAATTCCCAGAAAGGTGGCTAGCTGGAGGACATTCAGAATTCAACAGGAAGAGCCCTAGGGTTTGGATACCGGAATCTCACTACTCTTTCCATAGGAATCTGGCAGTATGGCCTCAAGCAAGTCATTTTAACTCTTTTTGTAGTCTCCTTTTTAAAAAAAGAAGGTTAGACAAGATGACTTAAGATTTCTTCTATTTCCAAAATTCTCTAGTACATGATTATTTAAAATATTTTGGCTATATTTTTTAAAATCTAAAATGTTACAGAATTTTAGATTTGGAGTTTAATCTGTTTTTTCAGACAATGANAAAAAAAAAAAAAATCCAATCATTGATGTGTTTATAAAAATTACATTTTTATGTTTACTGGTATGTTTGTTTTGTTTTGGTTTTTTTGTTTGTTTTTTTACAGTTTAGCAGTTAGATGAGTCAACACATAAGATGGGTAGGGGAGGTTTTTATTTTTGTCTTCTCAGTTGGGCATTATCATGAAGCCAATTTAACACAAACCACTACCTAGATCAGGTTTCGGAATAATTTTTTTATTACCTTTAGAATCTTAAAATGGCAGTAACAAAGAAGCCTACATTTTTTAAAAAAATCAACATCAGCAATTATAGTTAATCAAAGGACCATATATTACTGTATCAAAGATTCAGCATAATTCAAAACATACAAAAATATGGAACCAGAAGATGTGTGCTATAAAATTATATGAACCAAAATGTGCTGTAGAAAGAAAGCAGAAGATAGTAAAACTTGGCTTCTCCCGTTTATCTGCCCTGTGGATTACAGAGTGTTGACTGCCTCTATTAGCATAAGACCCCATGGGGGAAAAAGTGCAGGCATACGAAAATCAGATTTGATTCAATGTTGAGATGGTAGGCAGTATAATACAGAGGCAGGACAGCTTTAACAGTGTGTCACCTGTGTGTTTCTGCCAGGTGACCATCCCAGCAGAACATTAGCTCCTAAAGAGCACTTATAGTTCTGCTTAAGAAAATCAGGTAAAGAGGAAATAGATCATCCTGTAACAGTTAGGGCACTAGACTAAAAAATCTTGAGCTTTGTAACCTGACCATTCAAATGCTAATTATTATAATAGTGGCAAAACTGTGAGTTTTATAATTAAATATTGTGCTGAAGAACATTCATGGATTAAAGAGCCAGGTGTTACTTAAGTGTGTGTGAGTAGTTTGGTTATATTCAGGTGAAATGCAAAAATTGAAAATGATTTTTAACGCATTATTAGTAGTCACTAACACTAAATTATCACCCACAGTTGACTTCTCAGTTGGGCATTATCATGAAGCCAATTTAACACAAACCACTACCTAGATCAGGTTTCAGAATAATTTTTTATTACCTTTAGAATCTTAAAATGGCAGTAACAAAGAAGCCTACATTTTCTAAAAAAAATCAACATCAGCAATTATAGTTAATCAAAGGACCATATATTACTCTATCAAAGATTCAGCATAATTCAAAATATACAAAAATATGGAACCAGAAGATGTGTTCTATAAAATTATATGAACCAAAATGTGCTGTAGAAAGAAAGCAGAAGATAGTAAAATTTGGCTTCTCCCGTTTATCTGCCCTGTGGATTACAGAGTGTTGACTGCCTCTATTAGCATAAGACCCCATGGGGGAAAAAGTGCAGGCATACGAAAATCAGATTTGATTCAATGTTGAGATGGTAGGCAGTATAATACAGAGGCAGGACAGCTTTAACAGTGTGTCACCTGTGTGTTTCTGCCAGGTGACCATCCCAGCAGAACATTAGATCCTAAAGAGCACTTATAGTTCTGCTTAAGAAAATCAGGTAAAGAGGAAATAGATCATCCTGTAACAGTTAGGGCACTAGACTAGAAAATCTTGAGCTTTGTAACCTGACCATTCAAATGCTAATTATTATAATAGTGGCAAAACTGTGAGCTTTATAATTAAATATTGTGCTGAAGAACATTCATGGATTAAAGAGACAGGTGTTACTTAAGTGTGTGTGAGTAGTTTGGTTATATTCAGGTGAAATGCAAAAATTGAAAATGATTATTAACGCATTATTAGTAGTCACTAACACTAAATTATCACCCACAGTTGTTAATTTAGTGTTAGTGACTGCACTAACAGATCACACAACAAATGAAATCTGATTGGAACTCTGAACTAAGGAGACTAGGTACTATCTCATTGGCTGTGTAGATTTCAAATTGTGACCAATTCCCAGAAAGGTGGCTAGCTGGAGGACATTCAGAATTCAACAGGAAGAGCCCTAGGGTTTGGATACCAGAATCTCACTACTCTTTCCGTAGGAATCTGGCAGTATGGCCTCAAGCAAGTCATTTTAACTCTCCTCGGGTGGGAGCACCGCCGCGCTTCCCAAGCAGCGCACTATCCAGTGCGCCACCGGGCCGGCCCCATTTTAACTTCACTATCCAGTGCGCCACCGGGCCGGCCCCATTTTAACTTTTTTTGTAGTCTCCTTTTTAAAAAAAGAAGGTTAGACAAGATGACTTAAGATTTCTTCTATTTCCAAAATTCTCTAGTACATGATTATTTAAAATATTTTGGCTATATTTTTTAAAATCTAAAATGTTACAGAATTTTAGATTTGGAGTTTAATCTGTTTTTTCAGACAATGGAGTCAATGAATGGTGGAAAATTATTCTCCAATGCATATCTGATGGATTTAGGAGGATGCATAAAAACATTACGCTACTGTGCAGGCTGGGCTGACAAGATCCATGGCCGCACAATACCAGTTGGTAAGTAGCTTTGGGAAACTACCAGGGCTGGAAGTAGAAGTGAGAAGATTCCTACAGAGCAGGAAAATTTCAAACTCTCCCTTTTGAAGATGTCAACCATATAAGGCTAAATTATTTTCCCCTTGACTTTGAGACAATGCAGTTCTGAAACTGGAAATTCTGTTAAGATTCATCAAATGACTTTTAAAGTTGTTTCAGCATAATCATGTAAAAGATAGCTATGGATATTTTAGAAAATATTAAAGGAAAAACGTGCTTATGGTCACAATTACTGATTTGAGGAAGCCATCTCTGTAAGGGCCCTGAAATTATTTATTTGGGTTTTATTCCAATAGTGACATTTATATCCTTTCTATAATGTAATTATTTAAGCCTCTTTACATGTTCCAGTATGAGTCAGTTATGGTCATCTGTGCCTGGTCAAACTCTGCATAGTTACACCAGACTAATTAAACAAACCGATTCACCTTGATTTGTGTCAAATAACTTCAAAGCAAGATAGGACTATGTTTATAGCCTGAGTTAAGAATTCATGTGTGTATGTATATGTTATTTTAGTGGAGTATGTACATAGAGGGATAGAAATATGAAAAATATTTTATATTAAATATGAAAAAGCATCAGTGTGGGAAACATTATGAATAGAATTTTATTCATATAAACATTGACTTTCGGAATACAACACCCTATGGAACTGGTCCTAATGTGCATTGCCAATCTAATTGGAACATCGAGAAGGTTAGAAGTGATAGCAAGAAAGTTAAAGAGGAGACTGAGACCATGCTGGTATCAAGAAATGTGGCTATTTTAGTAACTGTCTTCCCTAACCCTTGGACAAAATGAGAGAAGCCATTTAAAGTGCAGATAGATCTTGATAAGGAAGGTTCTTGCTGTGACAGCCAGAAGGCTTCTGTGGGAACAGGAACAGAACTGAACACAAAGGACAACTGTAACTCTTAGAATGACACATTAGAATTCGAGGTACATGAATCAGTCAAATATATATTGAAAAAAAAAAGTCTTTTCTTCTTTTTTTTTTCCACAGATTAAGAGAGTTTGCTTATATTGTTTGATAGCCAAAATAAAAAACAACATTTTAGAATAAGTCAGTAGGAAAGCCTTATTACTCATAGAGACATTTTTTAATCATACTTCTTTAATTTTACTATTTTTAAAATTGTATTACTTAAAAAATTCTTATTTGTAATAATGAATATGCTAATAATAAATAATAAATTTTTAAAAAAATTAAAAATAATAATAAAATTCTATTACTGGTAGAATTTTGAGCTTCCAGAAACATCTGAATATGGTTCTTCTCTTAGCCAGAGACCGCCTACCTACTTTTTCATCCCCTTTTAAAAAAACTTTGAGAAAAAGGATGATTTAGAAAACAACCCTCCAAGATAATGATAGAAAGAATTATCTTCCAAATCTTTTCCAATTTTGCATCTTTACTTTCACCTAACTCAATTGTATGGTTCCTAACATTGCAAATTACTATTTGAGAGCTATTTTCACTTTGTAAATAGTTGGAGTCATGTTCTTTTACTACAAATTATTGCCTACACCTTCCTCTCACATCAGCCCCAAAACATCATTCTGTGAATGCCAAATACATTTGTCTGTGTATAATTGTGTGTGTTTTATTTTCCAGATGGAAACTTTTTTTCTTACATTAAACCTGAACCTGTTGGTGTGTGTGGCCAAATCATTCCTGTAAGTTGGTCTCCTATATAATTCTCAATTTAAACAACAACAAAAAAGAATTCTAATTCTATTTGATTTAACAATGAAGCCTTTTGCAACACAAATGGATGCTTATCTATTTGTCAAATATGTAGCAAATGAAGGACTTGTTGATCCTGGTCCCTCTGTGATTGAACTTCTTGGATATGAATTAGGTAGTCCAGAAACCTGGCATCTCTCTTGAGTGTTTTTCGATATTACAGTATCAACAAATCTTAATCTTTTACTCTATGGGTTGGTTTTAAAAATTTGCCGTTTGGACTTTTTTTAAGAACCATGCTTCACATGTATATGGCAAAAAGAAAAAATAATACTAGAAGTATTGCAGACTGTCTAACTGATTTTAATTTCCAACATACTTAAAAAGGCCAAATAAAAAAATGGTGAAGTGTCCTTAAGTTCTTAGACGAGGAAGTGGTAATAACTTGTCTTTCACTCCGATGAGATTGAAATGTATCCCTATAAACATTTTTAGTAAAATTGCTCATTAGCTCAAAAATCCCAATAAAAATCTATAAAAACTATATAACCCTTAACACTAACAGTAGTTAATATGTACTGCGTGGCTATGATAAACCAGTCACTGTGTTAAGTACTCAGCCCACTTTCTTGATTAATCTTCAGGACAACTCCCAATAAAAATCTATAAAAACTATATAACCCTTAACACTAACAGTAGTTAATATGTACTGTGTGGCTATGATAAACCAGTCACTGTGTTAAGCACTCAGCCCACTTTCTTGATTAATCTTCAGGACCCCCTCAAGGGAGAAAGGCATTCTATTTGAAAAGACAGAGTGAGACTTTTATCCAATTCTATCTAACACAATCTTCTGCATCTCCTTGTTTGGTAACATTAAATCCAGTGCAAATCTTCAATATCCTTTTATATCTTCCATGACTCTATTTAAATTTGTGAATACATTGGATATTGTTAAATAACTGTTGTAATATTACTATGACAATATTCAGTGTCTACAATTCTAACCATCTGTGTCTGTTCTAGGTTGGCTTTAGGTCTTCTCTTCATTAAGGGTCCTATTTTCCAGTTTCTTTCATATCTGGTCATTTTTGATTAACTGTCACACATTGTGAATGGCACACTTGTTTATGTTAATTTTTTTTTTTTGTATCTCTATAAATATTTTTGAACTTTGTTCTGAGAAGCAGTGACATTATTCGGGAACAATTTGATCCTTTCAGGTCTTGATTTTAAGATTTATTACACCATAACAGAGCAGTGTTTACTTTAGGGCTATTTATTCCTAACGACTGAGGCAAGACTCTTCTGATCACTCTACTAAAATGCCCCATAAATTTTAAGGTTTCCACTCTGGCTGGGGAGAACAGGCCCTATTCCAAGCCTCATATGTTACCCAGGTAATCTTTTCTATAAATTTTTCTCTTGTTCTTTTGCTAGTCTTAGGCAGTTTCCTCACATGTACGTGCTGACCCGTACTCTGTTAAAAACCTTGGGGGAATGCTCTTCAAATCTCCAGAATTCCATTTATGCGAAGCTCCTGCTTCTTTGTTACTTTTGCCTGCAGAATGCAGCTGCCTCACTCTACTAGGACCCTCAGCTTCACCTCTCCAGCTTAGGGAACTCCCTGGGCTCTGCCTCGATGGCCCCTCCTCTGTCCTGAAGCCTGGAAACCCTTAAGACAGTGAGTTTGGGATACCCGAGAGTTCAGCTCCTGCATTCGCAGTCCCTCAGGGTCACCATCCTTCATTGTTTGATGGCTTGTGTCTTAAGTTGTTTCATTCTTTTTGATCTTTTGAGCTGTTGTGGTTGTTCCAGGTGAGAAAGTAAATCCGGTCCTATTACTCCAGTTAACTCCTGATTGGACACAAGTGAAGAGTGAAGTTGAATTGCAACTTCCCTTTCTGGAAAAACGATGGTCTCGAAAGCTGAAGAAACATACCTGCTACAAAATATCAAAATATTCTGAAAAGCTTTTTATTAACTTTTAAGTTCTTTGCTGTTTTGAAAAAAAAAAAAAAAAAAGCACATGAAACTTATCTCCGTCAACTATCCAAATTGTGTTAATATATTTTTTTTCTTGCAAACAATTAATTGTCCTTTGTCCTTCATTTCTTTTTTTTTTTCCCCTGCAGCTGGTCTGTACAGGGATCTGAACCTTTGACCTTGATGTTATAACACTGTGCTCTAACCAACAGAGCTAAGCTGGCCAGCCCTGTCCTTCATATCTTACCAAAACTTAAAAAACAAGTGTCAGTAACTAGAAACTTAAAATTTAGAAAATTTTTACCCATCTCCAAAAATTCTTTATTTCAAATTAAAAACAGGTAAAAGAGATGCCAAAATGAGGCATTTTGATGCAAATGACATGAAATTTTAATATGCCCACTCAGTTGCCACACTGCTTTCTACTTGAATTCAACTGGCATTGAAACTAATCTGTAAAGTTTAATCATGAATGGGATGACTATACTTACCTAACATTTTACTGATTAAATAATGCCAACAGGGATTTGAAACTAGGCTATTATACCCTGAGCAATCAGCAGCTAAAAACTAAAAATGCAAGGTCTCTTTAGCTTCTTATTTTTGCTGATGGGGATAATAAACACACTGCCCTCCTTCTACCTAAGTAATTTACCAGACGCTTGTATACATAGAATCTTTCTGAGTGACTACTGTGAAATTTGAGACAGCCATCATGGAAGCAATGATCCATAAAGTATGGACTTAACCTGAGGATAAAGGGTTCCTCAATAATGCAACCCTTGAAGTTATTTTTATGTGAGCTAAGAAATGAAAATAAAAAGAAGAAGAAAAAAATAAAACCACTTAGATGAATTTTTTTTTTCTTGGTAGAGAAACTCATCATGTTAGCATAAAGGGGCAGCCTCGATCTCATACTCTCATCTTTTGTGAATTAAAGTCTTAGTTCTGTTGTAATTTTTTTTTTTTCTTTTTACCTTTTAGGCAGGGTTTCCTCCTGGAGTAGTGAATGTTGTCCCTGGTTATGGGCCCACTGCAGGGGCAGCCATTTCTTATCACATGGATATAGACAAAGTGGCCTTCACAGGATCAACAGAGGTAATATCATTTACTCAGACCAGTAGTGAAGAAAGTCTACATCTCCAGCTATCAGAAGCATGTTTTATGTAACTATTCTTGAGCCGACACTTCCTTAAAACAAAAGTTCCATGGATATAGACAAAGTGGCCTTCACAGGATCAACAGAGGTAATATCATTTACTCAGACCAGCAGTGAAGAAAGTCTACATCTCCAGCTATCAGAAGCATGTTTTATGTAACTATTCTTGAGCCGACACTTCCTTAAAACAAAAGTTCCTTATAATGATTTGTTCCTTATTCTAGCCTTCAAATATGTTTATAGAACATAAGCAGATGTGGTTTAGATGAAACGAAATACCTATTACAAACTCAGAAGGACTAGAATAAACTGTTTTTAGTGTGTTCGTTACCTTCTCTGAGAAATATGGCCACTGAGAATTTGTCATATGATTAGTAAAGTTTATGATGTGAAGTATAAATTAGGCCACAGTGATTTGTATGAATGAATGTAATTTTATCCTGTAGATGATAAAAATCAAATAGCAGAGCCTCACCCTTAGCTCCTTATTTGGGGCTTTCTCTCTTTCCTGAACATTCTGAAACGGAGACAGAAACTCAGCTTCCCTTAGTGTTACTGTTCATCTACCCTAAATTTTCTGCCTCAGGCCCCAGTGTGGCCAAAAGGTTAAAGAAAAAAGGCAAGCGTGGACATTATGAGGAGAAACAGGAGGAAAGAAAGAGAGAGAGTAGCCTGAAAAGTGGACTTTGGAAGAATGGACTCACATTTATTAAGATGATTTTCTGTCCCAAGCAAAAGAAAGTATTGAAATCAAGCAAAAACATTCTCGAGTCATTCTATTAGATTATGTGACATTGTTAGATGTGTCATGCAAAAATAATGCATGCTTTTTAATGGTGTACAGTATAGAGGTAAGCATAACCCTGTCTTATAAAGCTGCTGACACAAGTAAGAAGCAAGGCAGGACGTGATAGGTCACTAAGACTTGTATTAAGTGTTGTAAGGGGGTTCACAGGAAGAAAGAGTGACATCCAAATTGGTGCTAGAACTTCCTCTGGGTTTTGAGGAGTGATTACTTTTTCAACTCTCTGCAGACAGAGAAGCAAAACAGGTTTCTAAATAGTGAGGTCAGGGTAATTTGATTATTTTATAATCCTAATTAGTCACTCCAGTAAGAAGACACATTTTTACATACAGAATTGAAATGATGGAAAAGCAAATTTTATTTTTCTTGATCTTTTTAACACTAGGTAAATAAATATATACTTTTTCTTTGTTTTTTATAGACAGAGTAGGAAAAGTTTGCATTCTGCAAATCCCTCAGTGAGGTAGGGGAAAGTCAACCCTGTGTTCACGATTTACTGTAGACAAAATAATTGGAAATGTTGAAGACATGGTAATAAATTTAAAGATGGCAATGTCACAGATTGAAATTCTAGCTGAGGAGGTAAAGGAAGGAAGGCACCTATTCCTCAATCTACCATTGTAGACCTTCCTCAATAGGGAGTCCATGTACATTTCCAGGTCCTGATCTTACGCTTACTTCTCCAGTTCATCTGGACCAGGGGCAACTGTTCCCTGATCCCAGCTCCAGCATCACTGCTTCTTTATCTTGACTCATCCCTGATCCCCCACAGTATTTTGAGGGCACTTTACCTACCTAAAAAGAAACCTTGAGATTAAAAGACAAGGAAACATCTGAGTTCAGATTCTGACTCAACCACTCCTAGCAGTGTGTTTTCAAAAAGTGAAGTATCCTTGCTAAATTTGAGTTTCATCATATGTAAAATGGCAACAATAATATCTACCTTACTGAGTTGTACAGAATAAAACTGAGTGAGTTAATGAGCAGTAAAACATTTAGCACCCTCCCAAGCACTCAATAAATGGCATGATTATTACGTGTATTCTTTTCCCATGTCCATTTTCTCTTTCCTCCCCCCGCTCTTTCATTTTCTAACACTAGTTTAAAAGATGTGAGGGAAGAGCTTCTTCCCTGTACAAATGTTCTCCATCTCTGCCACTCTGCCCCATCACTTCCTGATTATTCCATCTATCTTTTCATTTCGCCACGCTCTTGCTCATGTGTGGCCATAACCCGCTCTAATGCAGCTCCTACCACATGTGCTCTCTGTGCCTTCCTCCTCCTTATCTCTGCAGTCCCAGGAGCATCCTGAATTAAAAACTCCTCATCCATTTTTCATGATAAAATTATAAAAGTGCATGCTCATTGCCTTGTTGTATATCTCTCTCCCTTATTGGCTATCTTCAAAGACCATCTTGTTCATTGTTATCTTTGGAGACCAGTACAGTAACTACTTCTGGATAAGTACTAAAGAATTAAGTATGAATGACATGTTTTAGAAGCCACACAGAAAAAAAAAGTAGTCTTAGTGCCAACTCAAATGCCCCCAGAAATCTCTCTGGGTTTTCTTTTAGCCTCAGGTTTGCTGTTTGGCTTGTGTTAGGGAATTTGCCAAATGCCACAAAAGAGGCAAGCAATAGGTTGCATCCCGTGTGGTCACTGTAGTAAGGAGACCCATTCTAACAACACTCTGGCAGGCAGAAATTTTAATGTCCCATCCGATTCATTTAAAACAGAACCCTCCTCACATTATGCAAGACACAGTAAGTTGAACATTCTCCTGAGCGTCTGCTACGTCTGCCTCACACAGCAATGCCACAATATCATGGGACATACTAGTTTACCTACATAGTCTTAACAGTTCTTATCTTTTCTTCGTTTCAGATTCCTTTGAGAAAAAATGATGAACTTTTACTTTTTTCCAAGTAGGGGAATGAAATCATGGGACAAAAATTGATGTTTCCTTGTTTGGGCTTTAGTTAGACTTTTGGGAAAACTCGAGCAAGTCTTTTATTTACCATCTGAACTTGATTAAGCAAAAGTGTAGCCTTTCTTCCTCACCCATACTTGTAACCATTCTTCGTGCTAGTTCTTTTGACATCTGTAGCTTTCAAAAAATACCTCTGATCTTACTCCCCTCCCCAAGACAAAAGTTAGCTACTTTATATAGAGTTTCTCCAGTAAACTTAAGTTAAAAGAAAGAAAAAGAAAAGAAAAAAGTTGCAGGAGGAATTCTGGAAACTCAAGGGGTGAAAGGCAAAAAATGTTATCTGGAAAACAGAAAATTCTTAATCACCTTAAATGAAAATTTAATTTTTGAAAGTAATTATAAGAAGGATGTTGTTGAAGGAAAATGGGATATGAGAGAAATTTTGGACAAGGTTTTTTCAATGCAAGCCTAAGGTTTATTCTTATTAATCTATTTTAAAGGGTTTGATTTAGTCCCATTAAATCTTTTAAATAAGGTGAAAACATTAGTAGATTAATTAATGCTCTATTCTGTAATGCATAGTATCAGTTCAATAATTATGTATAATTTAAACATACACTCAGCAAGCGTCTGCTTATCTTTCGTTCAGTTGAGATGGAAACTTTTTATTAAAATCCAACATGAGGAGTAGGAAAAGAAACCCATAGAATTTTAAAGAAGCATGATAAAATGAATTATCTTTAGAAAATTGGAAATGTTTATTTTTAACATTTTAAAATGTTTATTTTTAACAAAGAATATTTTAGTGGAGTAAGGCTTCAATAAAAATAATAAAGAAGAAATAATTATAAAACAGTCCAGGTTTTAGAGATGGGAAAACAAAACAACTATAGAAAATAATCTTGATAAGAAGTGATCCACAAAGAAAAAAAATTGAAAACAATGTCTTTCTCTGAAAAGGGACAACTAGTATTAAAGAAGAAACCAGAACAGTAGGATTCCAGCTATCTGAAGTAGCAGGGCAGAGCACAGATCCAATTTCTTTCTTCTAACTCCACTGTTCAAAGATGTATGTGATGGGCTGGAGAGTGGGGGCAGAGAGAGAGAGAAATAGAGAAAATGAGAGAGAGAGAAATAGAGGGAGAGAAAGAGTGAGTGAGAGAGAGAGGTCTGTCAAATCTAACTCCACTGTTCAAAGATGTATGTGATGGGCTGGAGAGTGGGGGCAGAGAGAGAGAGAGAAAGAGAGAGAGAGAAATAGAGAGAGAAATAGAGAGAGAGAGAGAAAGAGTGAGTGAGAGAGAGAGGTCTGTCAATTAACAGTTAAATGAGTCCACTGGGATAGAAACTACTGATCCCTTGTGGTCACTGTAGTAAGGACACGCATTCTAACAACACTCTGGCAGGCAGAAATTTTAATGTCCCATCCAATTCATTTAAAACAGAACCCTCCTGGGCCGGCCCGTGGCTCACACAGGAGAGTGCGGTGCTGATAACACCAAGGCCACGGGTTCGGATCCTACATAGGGATGGCCAGTTAGCTCACTGGGTGAGCGTGGTGCTGACAACACCAAGTCAAGGGTTAAGATCCCCTTACCGGTCACCTTTTAGAAATAAATAAATAAATAAATAAAACAGAACCCTCCCCACATTATGGATATGCAGTGATAGGACGTTGTCACTTCTATCAAGGAGGTAACAATCTGAGAAACTTACACGTATACAAATAATCCAATTTGAAGCAGACTCTGAAAGAGTCTTCATGAGGTTCTGTGGGAGGCCGGGAAGGGAAAGGGTCATGTCTACCTAGAGTCCTCAGAGAAGGATTCAAGGAGGAGCGGAGATCCAAGCTGCACCCCAAAGAGGGACAGGACTTGGAGGTGGTTCAGGTCGAGGTGAGCATATAATGAAGGGAAGAAAGATGAGATTCAGGAGGTGAGGAAGGTGCCAGTTTGGCTAGAGAGAGTCCTCTGGATGTCAGTGGAGGTATGAAAAGTGAAGCAGGTGAGGTGTGGTTGGGTCGTGATATGTCTGATCAACCCACAGAGAGATGAAGTTCTGATTAAAGTAAAAATTAACCTGCTTTCTTCTCATACCCCTCAAGATCAGCTATCATGTTCTGTATCTCTACACTGTTGCTGAAAAGCATTTTTCTGATTTCTCTTATGTCTGGATGTTTGTATGGTGGAGGCTTTTATATCTGAAAGGTACTACATTGTGAAACATGCCATTTAGTGTTTCTCCCAGGTGAAATTTAGCTATGGCACAAACATCATATAATTTAAGATGCTCAATAAGCCTGTCTTCATGAGAGCAGATTAAGCCTCCTCCTTTGTAATGCTCCATTCCAGGTTGGCAAAATGATCAAAGAAGCTGCCGGGAAAAGCAATCTGAAGAGGGTGACCCTGGAGCTGGGGGGAAAGAGCCCGTGCATTGTGTTTGCTGATGCCGACTGTGAGTACAAGCTGCTGTGGGAACCCTCCACCCTTCGTCTTTTTTGGTGCCTGATAATGCCATACAGAGAACTTGAATTTTCCAGAAGGGTTTGCTTCTAACATCAAAGCATAAGGAATGAATCAGAATCTAAAGTTACTCTTGAAAGTATCTCGAAGTTATAACACCTAGATAATTTTAACACAGACAATTTCTTCCTGCTTTGGAATAGATTGCTACTTCCTCAGCTGAACCCTAGATAATGTAATGTTTTGCATTTAGAGGCCACGAAGTATTTTCTTTTTGTAATTTCATACCTTTATTATTAGCATTGCATTAAGCATAATGAGATATCCCAGACATGTTAGAATGAAACCGGCCACAGAGACACAAGTTTCATGTTCACCATCTCCCTTCACTCATTAAATAAAGTAGCCAGAAGAAAAATGCACCTGCAATTTAAATAATTCCTTTTTTTCCTAGCAATTGTAGTTGAGTTTACATATATTAAATTGACAATTGTGATGTGACTCTACTATATAATATTCTAGGTTCATTCTAATTATATTATCAAGTAGAATCCCAAAATTACTTCCTAACTAGGAGTTAATTAGCAGAAAGAGCTGGTCAAACCAGACATTCCTCTAACTCTTTTATAGCTGCATTATCTGTAAGAGGCTATAAACACAAATGGTTCATAAAACTGGCTTATGTTGCTATTGCGATCTTAATTGAAGTTTTTTTAGAATACGCTACCTTATTAAAAATTCTACAAACATGACAAGATTCCTAATTTTACCAACCTTGTCTGTAAACTGCTTCTACTACAATTTAAGGTGTGATTAATTCACAAAATAAATTAAAATAACAAGCAATTGCTATAATATTGAATTGAATCTTCAGCACTTAAAAAATTAAAATCCACAAAAACTTTATTCTTTTTGTATATAATCTACTAATGAAGTAAACTATTTCTTCCTTTTAAGGCATATTCTACCATCTAAAACAAATGGATAAGAAGAGTTTATAGGCATATATGAGATAATATGGCATACTTTAGCCAGATTTTGAAAATATCTTTCCTAGAAGGCAGCAAGGTGAACAAGTGATTCTGAGTATTAGTTTTTTGTTGTTGTTGTTTATTAGTTGTTTTGTTTTATTTTGTTTTTTTCAGAAAGATCTCTTTTCCTATTGATCAGGGTGTTTTAAAATGTTTTCAAATTATTTAACACAAAAGACATTTCAGATTTTCTTTGTTACTTAATTAAAACCTGAAGCCTGAAATGTTCAGTCATCTAATTGTAAATTGAGATATTTATAAAAATCATTTGCAGTGAGATTTGATCTTCTGATCAAATTCACATTCTGGGTAATGTCTATATTAAAGTTGTGATGATAACCACCATTTTTTTTCAGATTCTACTATCTGTTGTTATATTTCCATGATAAATAAAGGATCAGAAAGACAATTTGTCATCTGACTCTTAAAAGGTGCAATGTATTGAACTGAACCCATGTATCAATATACAACTCATGATTTTTCTGTATCACCTTATTGCTTCTGAAATACATATAAAAAATATCGTCTTTAGAAAATACTTCCTCTTTGGGCCGGCCCGGTGGCGTGTGCTGCTTGGGAGTGCAGCGGTGCTCCCGCCGAGGGTTCAGATCCCATGTGGAGACCGGTTCC